TATCAATAGGTTGTACATACAAGGAAGAGTGATGTAAAATGTGACGGGAACAAGACATTATAATGATGAATTATAGATAGATACATTAATACATGCGGAGTGATAGAATAAAATTAAGAAACTATTTTCATGTATGATTCAAAATACAGTCCTTTGAGAATGCATGTTATTCATGTTTTGGCCTTCCACTTGGAAAAATACTTATGAAAAGAATTCTTAAGTACTTTTATTATAAGATTTTTAGTCAATTAATATTTATTATACACGTATATATCTGACTAGAGTTAAAAAGCGAAAGGCCAGAATCGAATGTGTGCATGTATGAATGAATGCTTGTTAATTTCATTAAAACACGATATAAAAAAATCTAATGTAATAATTACGCATTACATATATGTATGTACATGTTATACATAATGAGTTTTGTACATATGTTAAAATCGTTACAATCTGTATAATATTAAATTCTACTAAAAAAACATACACATTCTCTATTTTCTTATACCGTATGTGGAATAAAAATATTCTGAAAATTAACATTCAGTTTGCAACACAAGGTAGAAGTATTTACGTATCATACATGTATTTTAAATTTTTATACCATTTGATTTATACGATTCTTGAATGTGTTAATTGTATATGAATGCTAAGCATAAAAAAATTTCGTACTACATAAACGCATTATATAAAAAAAATATTATTTTATTCTTCATTACAAATCCTTTCTTTTAAACGATGAGTCACAGAATGGGAATTAAATAAATTTGTCCATAAAATTAAAACAACTTTATTGCTATATCATATAATTGTAACGACTGAATGTTACAATTATAGTTTTTCAAAAGTATAAAATAGTTCGATATCATTTAATGGTGGCAGCGAATTCTCAATAAATAGTAGTCGTTACCATTGTCAATTCATTTATCGCTTCTAAATAATCTTTATCACAATTCATATTGTACAACTTTTCACAATAAATGTACATATTTCGTTTACCTATAAAATTGTTGCTGATGCTGCGACCATTGAGTCTGTGGTGGTGGTGGTGGTTGTTGCGGAGGTGGCGGACCGTATGACGGATCTTGTATGTATCCTGTTGGAGATGGCCGTATCGAGGTCGGTGTCGAAGAAACATACTGTTGTTGTTGCGGCGGCGGTGGTGGTACGTAAGATACCTGAGCGGGATGCTGGGGTTGCGGATAATATTGTTGCGTTTGAGAAACAGGAGGTGGCACGTTATATCCTCCGTAATTAACTTGTGGAGGTGGAGGAGGATAATAATGATGACTTTGTTGCTGGTGTATATCATGCGCTGTCATTGACGTATCTTGTATAGGTACAGTGATGAGGTTCGTTCTCAGTGGAGCGTTGTTCGGTGGCGGAGGTGCGGAATTTTGATTATAATTTTGCATCGATATCAGTGACTGCGGCCTGTGTTGTTGTCTGTGCTCTACCGGTGGTTGATTAACCAAGGAATTCACCCTAGGGTCGTTTCCCATTATAGGTGGGACCATATGAGACTGCACCGATTTTATACGCGTATTCTGCATAGCGACCGAGGAAACTTTCGTCAACTGAGAATCTATTTCTGACTTAGAATGCACGTATTGAGGAGGATCAACTTGCATCCCTTGAACTTGTTGTGGTGGAGCTGATATATGTCGATGATTTATATGAGCCTACATAAATCATATATATGTAAACATTTGAAGAACAAAAGGAATTAAAGAAAAATTACCTGTAAATCTCTTTGACTAAGATATGTACGCCTACAGCCTGCATTTCCATATCTAGTGCCTCCATGTGTACACATAAATACAGTCCCTAAGCCTGTTTGCTCTACTCTAGAAACTTTCTCCATACAACGAGGACACACCTTATCTTCTCTTTTGGCACAAGATAAGCAAAACACATGTTTGCATGGTATCTACAGTTAACGAAACCACCATCAATACGTTTTCAACTAAAGAACAACGATTATTCTCCTTTCTTTTTTGTTTCTTTAATATCTGTATCTAATATTCCTCACCATGCGCCCATAGATAAGGATTGGTTTCAAACACTTGTCACAGCAATGTATCATAGGATTCAGCACTTTTTCTCCAATGAGGTTCACTCTGTGGTCCCATCTCAAACGAAGCATAGGTTCAGGAGGTCCTCTGTTAATTGTTGTGAAAGTTGGAGCTTCCAGTTGCGATATATCAGCTTCCAAATCGAACTGTTGCTCCAAAGGAGCCTGTTGCGTCGGTGGTGCTTCATGCTCTTCTATTTCTGTTCCGCCTCCTTCTGGTAGAGTTTCTTCTACTTGTTGCGGTGTATCCTCTTCATCGCTTTCTATGACCTATCCATAAATCAAGTTTTCTAATGAATAACTACATCAAATTAATAGGTAGGATGAATGAGAATGAATTAACTAAAAAGATATGAAATGTACCTTTACAGCTTTTTTGGATCTACCTCTAGCCCTTCCTCTTGTTCTGCCACGTGCTCTACCACGAGTTCTACCTCTTATCCTTTTACTACCATCTTCCTCCATTGTTGAAATTAATATTCATTATCTATCGAATAAAAAATGTATACTTTCATCTAAAATAAACTAGATACATATTAATGGCACATAAAATTGAAGATAAGAGTTATTAAAGTATGCACATTTGAAACTCAAAATAAAAACATGAAGCTAATAAAATATTGGTAACACAATTACTATTTAACTCGATTAATTTAATATACTGCATGTTTTAACATAATTCGTACTTCAATATTTCGCATCGAAAGCGGTACTTACTACTTACCCAACAGTCTATAGGTTATATTTTTAATTCTGCGTAGTAAAAAATTTGAAATTTATGATAAGAAATGTTCAGTGAACATAGTACGAAGAAGAACAAAATCCTGACACTTGTACAGGGATTCGAAGCAATTTTTGTATTGAATTATTTAACGTTTCACTCTACACTTGGCTGTTTCGTTTCACATCCACCAAGCATTTAACACACATCAACATACATGTATATGATTACTATGAATGGAGCCTGGAGCCATAAAACACGTCATGTGAATAAACTGTTGCTATACAATCTTCGTTGTTGTAATTCGTGAGTCGATGTCGTTACCTTGGAAACGAATTTCAGTATCAGTATATTATGCAAGTAGTAACGCCGTATAAGTGCCGTGTATTCTTATTCGTTATTTATTCATTTAGCATCACAAAAGGTATTTTGCTATTGATGAATTCAATATTGACAATATATACTTGTCTCAAACTACTGTAAAGTGAATAAAAATGTACATGAAAAAAGTATTTGTGTATAACAGTTATTACATTTCATACTATAGACTGCAGACAACTTCAAAGGAATTCGACGGAGGGAGTAACAAGTAACTCGACGAACTCCGAAGTCGAACAATTCAATTGTTTTTAATACAGTAGTTAAGTGTTAGTTATTTTGAATTAACAATTAAAATCAGACAACAATGGCTTGCTGCACAGGAGACGATGACGAGGAGCAAAGACCAGACCCGACACGCGTGCGAGAATGCACAGATATTTTCTGGCTTTGTTGTTTCATAGCATTTTGGTTTCTTATGGTATATCACAGATTATACTATTGCATTTATGACTCTATACGTATTATTAAAGATGATCAAATAGATTTTGCTGAAAGGTTCTATGAAAGACGTATCTCTTTAATGATGTTACATTGCAGATTTTAATAGCAGCTTTTGCTCTTGTTTATGGAAATCCTATACGGCTCATAAATGGGTATGATAGTTTTGGAAACACCTGTGGCATGAAAAATAATCCGAAATTCGGCAGTATGGAATTGTCTGGACAAGATACTAGCGATAAACCGTTAGTGTTGATGATCTCTGCTAAAATTAACATAATTTCAAAATTCTTCTTATTGGAAACGTATAATGAATCGATACTTTTAGATATCTATTCTTCTTGGACATAAGCAATGTCACGCAGTCATTGAAAATTTGTGTGAAGAAATGTCCAGACAGGACTATGACAACGATGAACGATATATGTCAGTTCTATGAGCAAACAGGATCTCAACTTTGTCATGATAAACCTGGAAACGATTTTAGTGCTTGTAGCAATGGGAATAGAAAAAATAAAACTGGATCTTGTCCCGAATTACCGGTGTACAATAGTATTCCAGTTCTCAATCGTTGTATTCCTAAAACCATTAAAGATGTAGGAGAAACTATAATTGCTAATTTATATGGCCTAATCAATTCATGGGATGTTATTGAACAGATTTTAGGAGATCTGTATAAAACATGGAGAGAAATCTTGTCCTTATCATTTTTAGCTTTTGGTATGATTTATGCATTACTGTTTTTTCTATACATACTATTCTCTTGATTAAAAAATTTTAATATTGTTACAGAAGTTGTAATTATCGATTTTTATTTTAGTTTTATCTCTCTTCATGATTGCTATATTCCATTTATTAGCAAGTATTGTAACATGGATCGTAATGATTCTTGTCAGCATAGCAACTATAGGTAAGTTATAAATGATTAACGAGGAGTCTTACATAATTGAGGGTAATATGATTCATGCAATGTTGTTAATAGCTGGAAGCGTGCTGCTGTGGTGGACGTACATAGAAATTAAAAGAACTTTAGATAAGACTGATCCGAATCAACTTTTAGAAGAATCTGTTAGAAACGAAAGAGCATTTCTAGCTTTTTCTATTATTGCAACGATAATAACTGTACGTGACTGTTAGTCGATTATTAATTTGACCACAATTATAGAAATCTATATTTCTGAAAGATTTAATCATTTCAGGTAATTTTATTACTACTTTTAAGTATTTTACGCAAACGTATTGGATTTATGACGGCATTATTTAAAGAAAGTGCTAAGTGCTTAGCAGAGTTGCCAGGTTTATTCTTTCAACCGTTGCTAACGTTTACAGCTCTCATATTATTCTTCTCATTTTGGGTGACTGTAATTCTTTGTCTCGCGACAGCCAGTAAGTATTTTAGTATTCTCGTGTACTCTTAACATAGAAATTAAATTTATGCGCGAATGTAACTTACAGATTATCCTGGTACTAAGTCTGTGCAGATGTATAAAAATCACATTTTCGATCCTCTAAATTTGAGTTCAATTGGAGAAAAGAAGAGTGCAATTATTGAAGAAAGGAAAATTGATTTCTCCCTTGATTCTTTCAAAAGTAAGTCAGCGTGTTTAACTTCTATGTTTAATTTAGCACTTGTTACTATTTTTGTAACTGTTTCAGCTTTCACGCTTGTGGAATATGTGGATCCGACTTGGGTGAAGTATATGTGGTGGGTATACATCATAGGATTAATATGGACCTCTGAATTTATTATTTCTTGTCAAGATATGGTGATATCGGGAGCTGTAGCCCATTGGTATTTCAGGTAATAACAAAAAGAATAGCTTTCCTGCGAATTATAAAATATGTACATAATCATACAACAATTATCGATTGTGATTTTAGAGGCAAAAATGCTAGTGCGTCTCCTGTATGCTCCGCTATGGGAAATTTAGTATGTTATCATTTAGGCTCTGTTGCTTGTGGCTCGTTCTTAATAACGCTTTTTAAATTACCTCGTTTGATCTTGACGTACCTTCACGCTAAGTATGTTTCATTTAATAAACGTACGTAAAATTAATCTTCCTCTAGTACTAGTATAAAATGCTTTACAGATTTGAAAAAACCAAGGAAACATCTCCGTGTGCCCAATGTGGGTTAAAGTGTTGCATATGTTGTTTCTATTGCTTAGAAAAGTTCATTCGGTATATGAATCACAATGCATATACCGTTGTTGCTATTGAGGGTACACACTTTTGTAATGCAGCTAGAATCGTATGTATCGATTTAAAATGTGTTTTATGTTTTACTTAATATAATTTTACAGTGAATGCATATATAGGCTGCCTCCGGTACAAAGCATAAGAATGCATTCTCTTTTTTTTCAGGCATTTACAGCTCTTGTTAGTAATGCTTTACAAATAGCGGTGATCAATGGTGTAGGAGATTTCATATTATTTTTGGGCAAATGTTTTGTCACGGCTGCTACTGGAAGCATTGGGTTACTGTTCATGAAACAGGATCCTAGATTACATTTTTACGCAGCGCCAATTTTTGTTATCTGCGTCTTCTCATTTTTCATTGCTCATTGCATCATTTCTCTTTACGAGGTATGTTACATAATTTTTATACGTAGTGAAAGTTGATTTCGTACGTATAATATTTTTTATTTCAACCTTTGTTGTAGACTGTGATAGATACTTTATTCCTTTGCATCTGTGAAGACAAGAATTTGAATGGCGAGAATGGTAAATGGCGTCAGTCGGCATTAGCGCAAATTGGATCTAACACTAATGCGAATGGACAACAATCTCATGAATTAGTACCAATGAATACTTAAGTATAACGCTGAAGCACTCATTTTTCTTCCAACGTTTATACACGCTTAAATGCATTTTATTACAGTAGCATTTAACGTCAGTAGATCTGTAAGCTTTAACTTTGATATTATTTTTATGCAATTTAGATTTCTATCAATTTATAATCGTTACATGCATTATATATATATATATATGTGTGTGTGTCTGTGTATACAAGATCGTGAATGCCTTATACGAAAACTCATGTAAAAATCTATATTTTTAATAATCAACTAATTTTTTTATACGTCTAAGATCTAACTGCCATAAATTTAAACAAGCTATTTTTGATTCGCTAAATGAAATATCGAATCAATATTTTTGTTAATATTATTTTAATGAATTTACAAAAATTCTAAGTTTTGTTTCTAAAAATTTAATAATGGTAATACTTTTAATTACTATAAACGAGATTTTCACGTTCTATAGCAATGAATTGAATTATGTATAATACGGTATTTTTTTATATTGAAAACGACTAGTGAAAAAAGATC